ACTGTTGATGTGTTTTAAATAACCGCGACATACTAGGTTATGTTGTTCAAGCTTACAAATTAAGATTTCTTTAAATGTTTCAAAAACGAAAAAAGATAGGTATAGGAATCATTTCAGAAACGTTGCTTAATTTTTTCCGGAGAATCAAAAGACACCATCAAATATAGGGTGTTCCCTTTAAAAAAAAACATAACTTTGATAAAAATTCCTATTTTTGAATCACACAGTATAATCCAAATTATTTTTAATTTATATGTTAATGGCCCTGTATATCCAAGTCGTTTTCCCTACAGAGACCGACGCGTATAGGATGCGCCACTCTGTATAAGTTACAGTGTAAAGGGAAAGAAATAAAACTAGGTCCTTAAGTTCTCACAGAATTATTTTAATCACGACCGGTTTCGAGGTTTTCTTATAACCTCATTATATATCGTTGATTATTAATAGGACACCCTGTATAATGAATTTCTATTGCTAGCAGTTCCATATGTCGATGAAATTTAAAAAAGCATTTGGTAAGTTACCTACTATTATTATCATGCATTACAAAACGTTCCTTTAAAATTAAACATTATTAATTCAGAAATATTATTTTCAAATTTTTGTAAAATCGCACACATATCCAATACCTATTAAAAAATTTAAGTAAGGGTGTTGGTTAGGACACTAAATTCTCTTGTTCAAATTTTAATTTTAATGGTGGAAGGCGAAGAAGAGTAATGCCCGGACGTAAGAATCATGCATTACAAAAAGTATGTTGGCTTCAGCTTTACTGTTCAAAGTTTAATGTTGGCTGTGTATGTGGTGAAGAATGTTGATACAAATATAAATTTTTTAAAACAGTTACCTTCGTATAAAACATTAAAAAAATGTATTACCAAAAACAATTATTTAAAAAGTGTACATGCAGATATTATTATTCTGATTGGTATTTGGCAGCTACATTGAGAATAATATAAAATTTAAGATACCTACCAGATAAAATTTTACCTGTACCTTAAAATTTTAAAAAGGATTAAAGATTTCCTTAATGTTCGGATACCCACTCAATTATTCATGAAGTAAGAACATTTTACCTTTTCCCGAAAACTCTAATGATCTCTTAAAGATTACGATATCCCCGTCTTGAACGAATGGAATTTATTTCCATTTTAAATTAGATTATAACTCAAAGGGAATTATTTTTCTTATTTTTCTTATTTCTCTCACCGTTAAAAAGTTCGAACAACCATTACAAGATTGAGCAAATAATTAGGGCACTTAACTTTAAAACAGCAACAATACCTCTGCAGTATTGCTAAAAAAAAAAGGAGAATCTTTTGATGATCTAATAGAGGTACTAATTAATTATCTGGAAAAGTCATGCATCTATCTATTAAACTTTAATTTGAATAAATAATCAACATTAACGAAATTATTTTAATCCAATGCTTATCAAATAAAGTATTGGTGGTTCATAGTTTCCAATCTCTCTTGCGTTGTCAGTAAGAAAGTGCGAAAAAAGTTTACGCTACATTCATCATTCTCTATAAAAATCTACCTGGAGAAAATGTCAATACCTTTAAAATCAGAAGAATCGTTTGCGTAGATCAGACGGCTTTCGATTCGAAAATTCAGGCAATTACAAATCCGACATGTATTTTACGAAGCCGTAACGTAAATAATAACCGAAATATCTGCATGGAAATTACACACTATCACACTGAAAACATGCAATGAACTATCCAACTGAAACGATGTGACATGGACAGGCACCGGACGAGACTGCGGCTCCGGGATGTCGAATTTAAAGAGAACGGGAACGCGCAATCGCACCCGGATCGATTTTACTGGACCAACCTGTCCTGGCCTACAAGATGTATTATACATGACCCACTCGAAGGTTGAGGACAAGAAGTTATGATCTCTCTTATAAGAGGAAAAAACAGGGGTTTTGATTATCCTTTATCATAACATACACAATCTGGCACAAAAATTTAGTTTATATCTTTTCGGGTTGTTTCCACTAAAAATGCCTTCCAAGAAAATATATCTTTTGCACTCCTGGATTCGAAAAACGGACTGAAATGTTCTAGAATGGCTTTACAGTTTTGTTGATGATCTGCTTATTATAATTAGTGAAAACCATAGAGATAATATGAAATACCATTGGACTAGAACAAAGTTTTGATGCGAAAGAAAATGTATATTCATCGTTGCCCACCAGCCTGCTTGAAGAAACTATACAATTTAAATAACTATAAGGCTGATAGGAATTCTCATCTTGAAAATTAACAATTAACTCTTTCATTCTCATATCCTTTTGTCTTTTTAGACGTAGAATAGGGATCGATTCTCTTGATGGATCCATTTGGTTCCATTCCTATGTTCCTGGCTAGTGGTTATATCTCAAAGTTTTCCTTTTATCAATTCCAATCTCTTGAATCTGGTCCTTCCATTTCTTGCTGGGTCTTTCTTGTTGCCTTTTTTTTATTTTCATTTGACCATTACCTTTCTCGATATTCTATCTAGTTTTATTCTTTCTAGGTGATCATAGACAGTGTTGGAATAGAATCGTGGATACGCCCCTCATTGGGATCAAGATTGTTCTATATCTTCTGGAAATTGTAAAATGTATCTATGCAGCAAAGAAACTGTTTAGGTATTTTGAAAAGTTTTTGTTTTTAAGTTACACTTAAGTGCCTGGTTAGAAAAAAATATAAAAATCGAAATTTTAAACATAAACTTTTTCCAAAACACAGGATGTTTGGGCAATAAATAACATAAAGAAGTAGTTGTGTTATTAATTATAAGAGAGGAGTTGGAGAGGTCCCAGTATGTAATTTATAAACGAATAAGTAACTTATTTAGTTTTCTGGATAGTAGCAGCCGGTCAATTTATAAATAAAAAAGAAGAAACAATCTAAGGAATATCCCAACAAATATCACAAGAAGTAAATAACCTAATTGTTAATTGTCACTTTGAAATCAGTATAAAATAAAATCAAACTAATTGAGATCCTGATTGGAGGTGTGCTTGAGGTACGTTTTAATATTAAGTGGCGTCCAACGTAGGACTCGATTGGTGATATAACACAAAAGCAGGACTGGCAAGGAACCTTTTTCTATAAATTTTAACATTAATTGTTAAATTTGTAAAAATCCAAGAAAATGCGTGTAACGGATCTGCGAGGGGGAAGGAAGATTGGTGCATAAGAGGGATAATCATGAGAACGATAAGAATGATTTATATGAAAATGATGATAAATGAAAGTAAGGAAATAGGAAATAATCTGAGTAAGGAAATACGAGGCTGGGCTGAAAAATAATCGGCCTAGGCAAGAACACACAACTTTTTTTGGCAAAACTCAATTTATTTCTTAACATAGTCCCCTTTAAGCTCCATACACTTTGTCCAACGATTCTCCAATTTTTCGATGCCCTTCAAATAATACGATTTCTCGGAGTCCTTAAAATAGGCCTCTATCGCAGCGATGACCTTCCCATTCGACTCAAATCTCTTACCACCGAGCCATTTTTTCAAACCAGGAAACAAATAGTAGTCGCTGGGCGCCAAATCTAGGGAGTATGGCGGATGAGGATCCAATTCGTAACACAATTCATACAGTTTTGCCATTGCGACTACACATTTGTGCGCCGGTGCGTTGTCCTGGTGGAAGAGCACTTTCTTATTCGCTAAATGCGGTCGTTTTTGCTTCAAATCGTCGTCGAATTGGTCCAACAGCTTTGAGTAATAATCGCCGGTGATGGTTTTGCCCTTTTCAAGGTAATCGATATGAATAATACCATGCGCATCCCAAAAAACTGTGGCCATGACCTTGTTGGCAGACAGACCCACCTTGGCTTTCTTTGGCTTTGACTCGCCCTGAGAAACCCACTGCTTTGACTGTTCCTTCGTCTCTGGCGTATTGTGATGAATCCATATTTCATCCACGGTTACAAAACGGCGCAGAAAGTCCTTCTTATTGTGGTTAAACATTGCCAAACACTCTTTTGAAGTTGTCACACGGTTTCGCTTATTGTCGGCATTGAGCAAACTCGGCACCCATCTGGCAGCGAGCTTCGTCATTCCCAAATATTCGTGCAATATATTATCCACTCGTTCACGTGAGATGCCCATAGCTTCAGCAATCTCACACACTCTTACCCGTCGATCGTCAATTACCATACCATGTATTTTATCGACCACTTCTGGTGTGGTGACCTCTCTTGGACGGCCTGGATACTCATCATCAAAAATTATTATACGACCACGTTTAAATTCAGCAGTCCAATATTTTATTGTTGATAACGAAGGTGCAGAGTCCCCATACACATCATCCAGTTAGATTTTGATCTTATCGTTCGTTTTCTTTTTTAAAAACAAGAATCTATTCACTGCGCGATATTCGATTTTATTCATTTTTGTAAAAATGCAAAATCTGTTTGCCTTCAATCACTGTCAAGTACAAACTAAGTGACGCAGCTCGCTGAAAATTTTACAGAAGTCACTTGAAAGATAGTTTTTACGAAAAACAATTGCATTCGTTCCTAGCGCCGCCAACTCTTGCCGAGGCCGATTATTTCTCAGCCCAGCCTCGTAGAGAGAGTAAGAGATAAGATAGATAGCAAGATAGAGAGTAAAAGTAAAAGGTTGGAAAGAACAAAACTAGAATTAAGGCAAGAGGTAGAGATGCTGAAGAGATACAAATAGGGGGTTACAATAGACGAATAAGGATAATAAGGAAGTTAACTATATCCATAGAATCGAGAAAATAGAGAAAGTTCAAGCGTGTGTTTTAAAACGAGATAAAAGCTAAATTTGGGAGAGTAAAAGGTGTGATAAAAGAAGCTCAAGAGATGTCAGCAAAAATAATGACGTGCGTGGAAGAGGTATGAAGAAGATAGTACTAGGATGAAATGGCATCGTAGGGTTCTCTAATAGGGAGGCAGAAATTCAATCATTTGATGGGTTTGAAAAAGTAATATGGAGTATTTTTAGGGAGAATTTGCGCAAGCAAATGACTACAATGCAAAATAATAAAAGCATGAATATGTTGAGTAATTATTTGCTTCGTATGGATCAAAATTTAGGGATCGATAGGCGTCAAAGTAAGTGGGAAGACGGCAGGTTACAATGAATTATTGGACAGATAGAATCGATACAGTGAACATTTTTCTAACAAAAATGGGAGGTATGTTATGTTATGTTGGGAATGGGGTGTTAATACACTGCGATTTATAAGATCTACTGTGCCCCCTCTGTCGCTAATGCAGCAAGGAAATGTCTCAATGCCTAAAACGACCTTCCAATCCTATCTTCTCAAGGAAGTGTAGGATTTTTAGTGGCTTCAAGTTAGGTGCCTTTGGATTCTGGAGTGCTACACATTCAGAATATATATGGAGGTTTCGTCCTTCTCCTCCTTACAGAATCTGCACTCACTATCTACTCTAAGTTTACTAAGGTATCCTTTCAGTCGGCAATTCCCAGTAAGGATTCCTGTTCTTGCTCAGACAGATGCAGGCTTCCGATCTTTCCTGGTTATATTCACCCAGAAATATCTTAGCCTGTCTCAGCCCCAAGAGATTGTTTCAATTATCGGTTCTTTTACTGCACAATTCTTTTATAATCTCTCCTAATATTATAATATCATATTACTGCTGATACCGCAGAACGGCTCAGGTCACACAAAGGGTGTTTGAGCCCCTTTGCTTGCGATCTCGTTACCCTGTACCCCGTTATGTTCCGGGACCCAAGTGAGAGTAACTCTAGGCATCTCCAGACCATTTTTGAGCAGATTACGTAGCGCTTTGATGGCTGCTTGGCTATCGGACATGATGATAATATCTTGTCTACGATAGTTTCTCTCGATGTTAAACTGGATACACTTCTCGATATCATGAATTTCCGCCTAAGAGATGCTTGGGTATTTTCCAAAGCTTTCGGAGTGCTTGGTTCTCGGCCCATACACTCTTATTCCAGTTCCTCCTATGATTTTGGAACCATCCGTATACCACTAAATAGCATGTCTTCCGGTTGCAAGCGCGATGGATTCTTGGCTCCATTCTTACTTGCAGCCCAGCTCTGTGGTTTTGAAGTTTCTCACAAAACTGTACTTTTTTATTATTTCATCCTGGGGCATATCCCAGGTATCTTAGGTCCTGAAACAAGTTGACTTTTGTCTGATTAGTCATTCCTGATCATTCTATATCGTGTCCTTTTTGCCACATTCTCTATCATTAAATGTAGAGTGGTGAGGTTTGAGATCACCTCCATTGCAGCTATAGGGCAGATTCGCATTGCACCGGTGATGCAAAACAGGCTAGTCTTTGCACCTTTGGGAAATTAGCTCTCGTAGTAGCTAAACTAGTTCTGTTACTCCAGGCTATAACCCCGTAAGTGATGATTAGTCTCACTATTGCAGTATATATCCATCGCAGTGTGTTCGGGTTACATTCCCACCGTTTACCCGCAATGGGAGGTATGGTCTTTCTAATAACTTAAGACAGAATAATAATGACAGGAGGAATATAAATGATAATGGTCAAGAAATCTATAGAGATGGAGTAGAGAATATAAATGAGAATGATATTTGAACTTGAAAATCCAGAATGACATCAAACCAAAAATGATCGGAATGGAAGTATGAGAAATCTATGAGTGTTACATATTAAGGATGCAGAGGTCAATGGAGTTGAAAGGTGTGACAGAGTAGGAGAAGAGTTTTCTTTAGAAAGCACTTACCAAAAGTAGAATTTGTAGTTACGTAGATTCGAGGAAATATATTAAATTTGTGGAAAATTTAGAAGGGAAAGTAGAAGAATTAACGGGATTATTATTTGTGAAAGTGAAGTTGTGGGATAAAGAAATCAAAATATTAAAAGATACAGGATCGAAAGCATCCTTAAAGAGTTAGTAGAAAATTATTATGGGTTAATAAAGGTACCAAAAATCATTATGATAGGTGCAATTGAACGTCAGTAAGTCTATAGTACTAAATTTAAAATTTGGGACAACAGTGAATTTAGAAAGCCAGTTGTTAGTCATGGAAAAACGTACGTATGATGTAATAGGGTCGAACTTATAAGTAGGAGATTATGATTGATTTTGAAAATTTAGCAATGATGGTAAAAGTTGAAAAGATTTCGTTTGTTATAGAAGAAGGACAAACAGGTGAATATGAATAAGGTTAAATAAAATGAGTCAGAAGTGGTACCATTTGTGTGTGATGTAAGAAATGATCGTACAATGTGGAAAAATCGTTTGGGGTAGTTAAATTTAAAGAAACACGACCCTTTTTAAATTACGGGAGGATTTTATTTAGTGAAATTTGCTTAATTTATAAGGAAACAACAAAATATTCTCAAAAAAAATATCACATCGTGTGGTATTTGGAAAGATTATTTGACAATATATATAAACAGAACAACATTTGCTTTGTTTCCGTAAGATGAAGTCGATCCTCTATTTAAAATGTACATTTCAATGAACAAAACAATTTTTGTCCATTTTTCTTAAACTTGTTGACACACTTCACGTTGACATTTTGCACAATAAATCATTGTTACGTTACTCTAGTAATTAATGACATTTTTTAAAATTTAACTTTTTCGACAAACTTCGCAGTGACGTTTCGCATAAATCATTGATGTGTTACTCTGGTTATAAATTAAATTTTTTAAATCCAATCGCAACATGCACTGTTTTCAGATACAATTTGTTTTTATTGACGTGTATTGGAATCTTAGATTATACAAACCTTAGATGGAACATAAGACACGGCGCATAATCTCACTTCAAAATTATTTACATCCACCATTCACAGTTGAGGAGATAACATGTCAGAGCGTTGTTCGTCCAAATTCAATGTGTCAACGAGATTTAATTTGGTATTTTAAATTTTGGAAATGAACGTTGAAAATGCCAAGATGTGTTATAAAAAGCTTTATTTATAATAAAAGTGCGAAGTGTGACGGCCATAAAGGAAACTTACATTTATTTCGGTGAGTTATTTAATTTTTAAAGATTCTATCGACGGCTATATTTTTTTATTTGAAAATAAACAGAACCGGACTTGGTCATTGGTACATGTTATGAGTATCAAATAAAGGTTATTATAAACTGTTTACTATTTCTTGTTTTATGGGGAATTTTTGTTCAGGAGGTGGAAAGAGTAACATACAATCAATCAATTTCACTGCCAATTTATTCTTTTCAAATTTCACAACTGGTTTTAATAGTTTTTTCAAAACTATTTATTTAGTATTTTTCTATAATAATATGCGATCGATCCATTTAATTTATATTTTGTTTAAAGATTATTATTTATAAGTTAATTTTCTTTAATATAAATACTCTCTCTCTCTTTATACAAGGTGACCCAACGAAAACTTGATCGAAGTTTTGGGTATTAATATCATGGATGATATAAAACGCTCGGAGAGATCAATTTTAGTTTGAAGGAAGATATATTTTTATCATATTAACTGTCATACGTCATTGCCCTACACTCCGTTACTCTAACAAATGCAAGTTAAATAGGAAAAGTGCCAAGTATGACACGTCATTGAAAAGATAATTTTAAGGATAATTCGACAATATAACTAGTTATTGGATAACTTTTGATTTTAACGCTCGATAGCAGCATACAAACCTATTGTAAAGTGTGTCACTTCATTTGAAAGCTAATTATATTTGAAATTTAATGCGTAGCATTTTTTTTATTTTGGTTGATTACACGATAAAGTTTGAATTCTACAATTATGTAAGTTCTTGTGTCATTCAATTATGTTTTGTTATGATGTTTATATGGCCTGACCGTGTTGTAACGTTGTCCGGGCCGTATAAACAGACAGCACTGATAATATTCGCTTCCTGCTCGCAATAATGTAGTTTTCACACGGCTTCCCATATAGGGTTGCCATATGGACAATGTGTAAAATTAGGACAATGGTACAAAAAAAGCCTGATTTTTCAAAAAAAAAAGACATTTCTTACATATTATGCATATAAAATTTCGAGTTTCTAAAACAAAGGAAGATCGCCAAACGTTTTTATGTTTCACCTGTTGAATTTACACTTTTTAGTATTATAAAAACAAATATACTGTAAAAAGAAAAAGCCGGCCATAAAAAACAGTCGGCCGTAAAGAAAAGCCGGCCGGACATTAACCAACTTGCCAAAAAAAGGAGGACATGTCCGGCTTTGACCGGACATCTGGCAACCCTATTCCCATAAGATTAAATAGTGCTATATGGGCAACTTTCCTAAGTAGTCGCAGGAATAATAATCTTATACCCTCTCATCTTCTTAAATTTTATCGATTAAGTTTTCAAACGCCAATATTGAAGCTTTAAAATTTTTAAGACCTCCTAACATTAAAATACTGTTTTATTTAGGTTAGACACTTACCGATAACCAAAATAATTTCGTCACGTGCAGTATAATTTCTTAAAATATAAAATTCTGTTTGTGCCTCTGTCTGAATAATCCAAACACATACATGGATAGGTTAAAGTAGACTGAAACAGAGCGTAACGAGCTTGTACTGGAACATCTCAATAAAGCTCGGAATTTCAAAGGATACAACGACGACTGATTTGCAATAAAATGATTTAAATTGCATATATTCAAATCTAAAACTATTTTATTTTAGTTTAGTTTATCTTCATGCAAGGGTACATCGAACATTCCGTAAGATGACATCTAGAGAACGTGCTATTAACCAATGTCTCGTACGAGCTTTATTGACTTGTGATTTAAGTCCTTTATTGGATCGTTACTGCTTGATGCATCTTCTCCAAGGTTCCTCGGAAAATGTCATAAATTTTGTTTGCTTATTTCATTTATTACTGACTTGATGAAATTTATGTAGGTGCTTGTGTTTTGATTATCGATCTCTGTTTCACTTAGTATTGTGGCGACATCAGCGCTACATGTCATCTGCAAGATATTGTTAATGTATTTACTCATAATCGGTTAGTAATCTGTTGATTTGAACCATTCGAAAAAGTCGAGAAGCGACTCATTGCTTACTTTTCCGGCTAACCGTGTTTCGTAGGTATTTCGCATTTATTCCAGCTTTTTTCCGAAATCGTGCATTTGGTGAATG